TGTGTATAGAAACCTACAGTAATATATGAAAATACTACACTGTCATTTTGTCATTATTAACATTTGTGGATTTTCTAAAAGGTGGAATAAGAGGGAAATGTGTATGCACATGTGCATTTGTATGAGTACATATGGTCTCTATAGCTATTCAAACCCAACTGGCCACCCTGGGGCATGAAAAGCATTAGACATGAGAAAGGGACACTGACCCAGCAGGCTTCACTGTCCTGGGGCATGATGTGAATATGTAAGAAAGTCAACATCAGTGAATAATCATTGAATGGAATATGCATGGGAAAGATAAGCAATTTGATATTTCACTGTGTTGATACAAAGGTGGATCAGGTTTTAGAAATCCAGCTTTGAGTATATACTAAAATAGGATTTTTAGCAATGCCTGGTTCTTTTCCCTAGCTGAATTTCTCTCTCTTTCTACAAGGCCACCCCGTCACACATCAGAGTCAAAGAATCATTGAGTTTTAGAGTTGGAAGAGAAGTTGGCATGAAAGAATGATAGAAAGTGAATGTTCTATTGCACTAGACTATCCGCAGCAGAGCACAGGGCTAAACACAAAGAAAAAACGCCATTCACTGCCCTCTTCTAGACCAGGGAGTCTGTTTAGGTATGTTTCCTCGAAGCTTTTAGTTCCAATATCCAGTCACTTTTGAACTTTGGAATGCATAGAGTCTTAGGAGTCTAGTGGATACAGCCTCTACTTCTGCAGTCATCTGCTGCCACTTTTTTGAGCTTTATAACAGCAAGGCAAGGCTTCCTACCATGTAGACTCTCTGTCAAGAGCACCAACATGGGCCAAAGCAAGGAAATGGCCAAGCCATTGGACTGACCATCGGAAAAGAGAGGGGCTTCTCAGATTCCCTGGGAACACTTCCAAGCCGAGGTGAGCCCATCTTACCTCCGAAATATTGATCCGGCCCTCCTGGAAGGAGCAGGTGGTGGGGTCATGGGTGCAGAGGTTGCGGTACTTGCACCAATGGCAGTGGAAGGCGCTGTTGACACAGGACAGGCACCTGCAAAGACGGAGACAGTAAGAGGGGAAGAGAAGGGAGTAGAGAGGGAAGGTTAGGGCAGGCCAGGTGCCTCTGTGTCACAACGGAAGTCTGTCATCTTGTGTCTAAATCCTAGTCTCACTCTCAGGAGGGCAGACTGGTGGGGCATCCTCTAGCACCAAGAATTGTAGATTCTCCATCCAAGATGTTCATGCGATCAGAAAGTTGGAAAGAAAGTGAGACCATCTGTATATACGTATAACATATAAAGCAGTAATGGGTTGGAGCTGGCCTGTACCACCTGCGAGAACTGATTATATTATCAGCACTTTTGCAAGCTGGTGGACATCATGTTGGTAGCCTGAAATCAGCATGGTGGGAATATTTACACCACAGAAATTGGCAAATGCTACAAACTAGATTTCCCTCTGATTGCTGGTAGTTAAACATTTACCAACATACCACTGCTTACAAGACAGAGCAGCCAAGAGAGCACAGGAATAGAAATTGGGCAGATCTGATTCCAGTCTTGCCTCTGCTGCTGCCACTGGGGTCACTCTGAGTAAGCCACTTTATCCTCTGAATTGGAGTTACTTCATCTGTCTGTAATAAAACATTCCTGTCTATGCCATAGGGTTTTGTGGTGTCAAACATGATAATGTATAGGAAGTGGTTTTGAAAAGTACAATGCTAAATGTGTACTATTTTCAAGTGCTTGAGTTACCTGTTATTTAACCTCTTAAATAACATTTGAGTGTTAACAGTTGGCTCATATCACCTGTATTGTTGGGCTTGTGGAGTTAACAGTATTAAGTGGTAACTTTGCCCCCCTCTCCAAGTAGCCAGGCATGGAGCAATGGGATGTACCTGTCTTCCAGGGTGGGCACCTCTTTCCTTCCAGTTTCACCTGGAGGCTTTGTATGTTATTCTGGCTCTCTGTGTGTGATAGAACACTATCATAGAAATAGGCTTTATGTGGGTTGATTTTCCCCCTCCTTGCCCACTGCCCTGCTCTGGTCTTTCACAACTACACCAAAACGAATGGACAGGACCAGGTCTGCAAACTGGCACCCTCTGGTGGGGTTGTGATTACAGGTGGGTGGTTGGGGGGCACTATTCAGGGGTCTTTGGCTAATAGACCTTGGTATAGTAGGTGCATTAACCCATCTACACATCATCTTCCCCATGAAGATCATTTCTATCCCCTTCTGCAGATGCCCCCAATTTTTTAGATTCTGATCTTAGGCCAATGCTATTTCACATACTCTCAGGCTGACTAGTTCTTGGTAATGTCTTAGGATTCAATAAGTAAGAATATAAGAATGATAGTGTCTGGTCTCTACACTTGGCTCTTCCATTGGCTAATTTTGTGGTCCTTGTTGTAGCTCTTATCCTCTGTGTGCCTCAGTTTGCCATATTAAAAGGAGGGGACTGAACTTCATTCTCTGACTTTTAACTATGAATGCCAGGAGTAGAGAAGAGTAAGATAGATAGTGTTTGGCAATAAAATGGAATCTTTGCTGTCAAGGAGACCTGCTTCTTTTCTCCTAAAACTTGCTGCCTGTGACAGCATCTCTGTTGCCATAGCAATGCATCATTGAATGTGGTGACATCACAGTAGATTGCCATAGAGATAAGAATGCTCTCACAAACAATGGATCCCATCACCACTGTGTTGGAGTTTGAGAAGGAGGTTGAGAGGTTCTCTCTCCAAGATGCTTGCATTTCCAAAGCAGGATTAGCTGGGATTGGAATACAGTGGCTAGTGGGCAGTTTTGTCCAGTTCAACTTCAGCCACTTTCTGCCCTGTCCTGGTCCCTGCCAGGACATTTCTACTACTAGTTCTGCCTTTTTCAGCACATCTACTGATTCATCCCAAGTGTGCCCAGATATGTCTCCTCCCTTGACTACTGTAGAGGTGCTAGAACTCCAGATGATTATCCTAATCATGAGAATCAAGACAAGAAAAGGGGAGACTAAGGAGGACTAGCTCATTTGTTTACTTCAATGGCTAAAGAGTTCCTTAGGGCTTAGCTGCAAAAAGACCCTCTTGCCACTTGACTGCTGAGCTGATGGACCCTACGGACTTGATGCCCATGGAGTTCTGCCTGTTATGTAGATCTCAAGTGGTTCCTGTCCCGGACAACGTGGAGGGTCCATAGAATGTGCCCAATTACTGCTCCATCTGGTATGGAGCTGTTGCTTGCCTTTTTCCTTGCTGAATGTCCAGAGTCACTGGTGCTATGGCCCTTATGTGGCCCTATTATAGAGACCTGTGTTTCCCTTTTTCTAAACTAAATGGTGCATGAGTTCCCAGCTTCTGCGGAAGGAATCTCAGTTTCTCTTCCAGAGAGGATCAGGAGGAACTAAATACGGGCCCCTCTCTCCTCTGCTCCTGACCCTGCTTCTTGCTTGTGAAACGCTTCTAGCTTCCTGGTGTTCAGCTGCTGGGGATGGCTGGTGAGGTCAGCTGAGCTGAGCTCAAGCCCCTCTGGAGGCTCGTGGTTTGGTCTGCCTAATTTCTCTTTCACAAGTTGACGGATGGGTTTGTAGAACAGTGGAGGCATTAACTTTCCAGCCCAGGTCCTTTTGTTGGGTGCCCAGAGAGGCTGCTTTCCCTACCCTGCTCCTGCTCTGTGTATACAGGTGACTCCGTCTCCAAGTCCCTCTTATTTTGGTTATGGATGACATGTCAAAACTCCAATTGCTGTCAATCTCTACCTTCAAAGGCACCACCAACTGGTCTGAAGTGGAGAACTTTTCTGATGGCTCCTGGGCCATGACCCTCTTTTTGCTGTCTTGGCTTGTGAGTTGTGGGTAGGGTGTGTTGGGGTGGGAACTAAGGAAGCCTGAATTAGGTCAGAGAGTAAATGCCACTCAGCTTAATACAGTAACATTTATGCATAGCTTACTCTGTCCAAATAGTGTGCCAGGCCCCACGGGGAGACTGTGAGGTGGCTATGGCATGATTCCTGTTCTAAAGATGCTTAGAGCTGAGGGAGAGAAACCCCACACCCACATCCAGACCCAGAGCAAGACGCCTTCTGCCAAGTGCTTACAGTTGGTGGGCGCTGCAGTTGTAAAACTTGAACTCGGTGCTGACAAATATCTTCCCCGTCTCCTTGGACCTCAGCTGCAACTCTAGCCCAAACCAGTCTGGAAAAACAAAAACAGAAAAAGGAATGGGATGTGGGGACAACCTGGGGGCCCAGTGGACAGCATGAAGGAAAAGGGTAAATGATTAAGCCACCCCAGGGCTCTCATGGGGTGCAGATGGTGGGTGGGACCTGCTGAATCATCTCTTCTCCTCCCAGAAGAACCCCTTTCACTGATGGCCAGCCCACCCCCTATCTCTAGACCCAGATGTTCCCGTCTGCAGAAAGGATGTAAGGGACTCCACAGAGCCCCTTGCCTTGACCGGGCATGTTCAGTTACTGAAAGAATTTCAGAAATATGAGGTCAGAACCTCTCACGCCCCCAGTCCTGTGGAGAGAACCCTCCGAAAACCACTGACTATACACACTCTCATTTCTAGAAGGGATGGGCAGTCTGAAAAGACTCGACACACTGTGCACCCTTAACCCAAGTGGGAGCAGAGGTTTTCCTTCCTCCCAAATTTTGCTTTGGGGCATGACAGTTTGCTTTCAAACTGAAATGAGTTGTACAAGCCAATATTAACGTCTGGTACTAGAGGACTTGGTCAGGCAATCTGTGCCTGGTTCTTGTGACCCTCGTCCCTACCGCGGTAGAGCAGCCCCCCAGCATGGGACTCTCATGCAGACACTTCTCACCTTGATCCAGAGGGATGACAGGGACGTCCTTGGGCCCAGGTGAGATGCAGGTGACCTGGCTCCCAGACACCTTCCCCTCCACCTCTGTCAGGTTCCCAAAGGCACAGGCAATGCCCGCAGACAGATCAGGGGCATCACTCACGACCAGGGTGAGCTGTGGGAGAAGCAGAGAGGTGATGCCCTAGGAAGAGCTCAGGAGACCTGGCTCCTGGCCTGGATCACTTGCTCACATGTCTTCCCTGACTCACCTTCAAAAGGAAGGTGGTCTGGTTGATCTATCTGCCAACTTTGACACTGAACAATCACAGTAATTAATTGTTCAATGGGGTGCAGGGTCAAAGGTCCTTATTAATATTATTATTAATTGATTTTTTCAATCTTGTCTAGCATCAGAAAGCACTGGGGGGTGCAGCACTACATAGAGAAGTATCAAAATCCACCACAGACCATGCTCATTTTGACTTGAAAATTAATCACAAGGCACCCATGCAAACTTGAAAGCAAGTCACGAGCCCTTCACAAACAAGCCTTAGCCTTGGCTCACAGGAGAGTAAGTGCCACCAATCTGGAGGCTTACCAGGAGCTCACTAAGTGGCTGCACGATAGCTAGCTCCTCACCCCGGCCACCATTCATTCAGAGGCTGCTCCTCAAGGCTGTGGTTCTCCTAGAGTTTTTGCTTCTCTGTTACTTCTGGCTCTCTGCTCTCTAGCAACACCCCTAGAGTGGGGTTCAGGGGATCAGAGAAGTGACCACCAATGGCTGGATGATGTCCACTATTACCTGTGAGTTTCAGTCCTCTCTGCCAGTGGTTTCCAGCCTTCTCAAGTGTGAATACCCTCCTTTTAATGGTAAAAATATCACAGACTCTCTCAGAAGAATCTGCTAATTGAGAAAATACTTATGGCAAAATAGTGCTCTAATTCAGTGCACTTTTAAATGAGTTTGTACTCAGTGACCACAGCACAGCATCTAAGTGGTATCTGAACAGGTAGGAAACGTGACTGGCTCCCCCTGGCAATGGAGGAGCGTCCACGAGGTGCACGGTGATGCACCCCTGCGACCCCCAACTTGTGGGCCACGACGTAGCAGGTCTCCCTTTGTCTTCCTGCCAGCACCTGGCGCTGTGTGTTTGCAATGGGCTACTCAGCTGCAGCGGGTATCACCTAGCCATCCCACACATCTGTCTGCACTGAGTCTCGGCCCCAGTTTCACTCCCATGGGGCCAAGAGACTCAGGCACAAATTCCCTGGTTTGTTCCCTCAGTTCCATTTGAGCCAACACCTCCTGGTGGGGATGAATGAACCCAAATCTTGGAAGGTTCATGAACTAATTAACATTTGTGAATGCTCATAAAACCTTCAGAATGAAATAATAGTGCAGGGCCCGAGGACATGAAGTATTGTGGGGTGTACGTTGACAGGTGGTTAAGGGCTATTTTATTGTTTTTAATATCCTCTTTAATCGCACACTGACTTCGAATTGAGCCTCAGTCTCTCTCTCTCTCTCTCTCTCTTTCTCTATTGCACACACACACACACACACACACAGAGGCAACCTGCAGATTGCTGTGACAGAGTGTAGCAAGTGGAGCACTGTAAATATAGCATACACTAAAGGATGTGTTATTTAGCACTGGATTGCTTTATGTCGTAGATGTTTGTTACCAAATGCAAAATCTAGATTTACAAAACAGATCAATGGTAATGAATTTGTGGGGAGTCTGGAGAATGACTGTGCCCTTTACAATAGGAGTTACCATAGGTTTTCTATAAATATGAAGATTCCTTGGAGCATTTAAATTCTAATCAGTTCACAGATGTATGTGCAGGCACTCCCTCCCCCCCTGCAGGAAGTACGTACCGACCGGCTGTGCTCAGACACTGAGATGCTGCTGGGGTGCACTGTGAGGCTCATGCACTGGCTGATGCTGGCAGCAAATCGATTAGGTTCCCAGGCCCGTTGGCACTTTTCCCCCCCTGCAGGAAGTACGTACCGACCGGCTGTGCTCAGACACTGAGATGCTGCTGGGGTTCACTGTGAGGCTCATGCACTGGCTGATGCTGGCAGCAAATCGATTAGGTTCCCAGGCCCGTTGGCACTTGAGCCTCGGAGACAATAACACACTTGCGAGAGCAAGGCATACAGAAGAGACAGGAAGGTTTCAAATCCCCCCCCGACCCAGAGGCTCTTTAGCAATCTCCCCCAGCCCTCTGCCTCCAGAGGAGAGGCCAGCCCGTGGGCCTGGGAGCTGAAGGCTGCCCAGTCACCACATTCTGCTGTTCCCAAGGCAGGCTGGTGCTGGCAGGTGGACAGGTGGGTGCAGGAGGGTCTGGGGAAGGCGAGAATGATGTGGCTAAGTTGTTCTAGTAGCCACAGATGACCCAGGAGGATGACAGAGGTGGTCTGGGGCAGTGGGGAGACTTGGGCATTGTTGGTAGGTCTACAGGTACTAGTACAAGTTGGGGAAAGCAGATGTCCTTCTGATGAATAAATGACAATCCCTGCTCTACAATTTTGGTGCGTTCTACATGTGAGAAGTGCCACAGGCACTAAAGTTGGGACGGCAGTGTGGGGAGGAGTGGGGAGTAGGTGGGACTGCTGGACATGACTACTGCAGAACAAGAGGGCAAGTAACTCAGGACACTTTGCACAGAGCTGATTGCGGGCTGTCAAGTTCTTAAGAGAGAGAAATTATCTTGAGGATGGAACCTGCCAGCTGGTGGGTGAGCCTCACTGGAGGGAACCCAAATTCACCCCTTTTGCCGTTCCTGGGGCACAACGTGGGTGGTGTCAGCATCTTCACCACTTGTCTGACCGAAATGAAGACTCACTGTCCAGGTTTTGCCAAGAGTCTGTTTGCAAAACTTTGTCAGGAGTTTCTTACCTCCAAAATCCAAGCAGCAAACCTAGTGTTCATGGGTAAAAATCCAGTCCAGATTTTGCATCTGTGAGGCACCAGTCCCCCTCCCTCCAGAGCCCTCCCAACACCTGCTGCAGAGGCTGGAAGCCAAGAGCTATTGTGCAGGACCCTGAACTCTGGCCTGCCGCCTCCGCCTCCACCTCGAGCCCCGCACATCTCACGGAGAAGTTTGGCTGGCTGGCACCGAGCCGTGGGGTTTCCAACTCCACTGGGCAACAGAATTCCTAGCCAGCTCCTGCCTTTCGGGTTTTCACCCTTTTCTCTCCCTCTGGGGCTCTTCAAATTAGGAAGTTTAAATGTGATTTTGCATTTCTATTGAGCTGGTATTCAATGGCTGGGGATGTATCTGAATAAGGATATGAGGCCAGTTGGAGTGAGAGGCAGACTTCTTGGAATCATGAAATAATGAGGCCAGAGGGGTCCTCCCCAAGGGTACAGGGTCTATAATAATTATTTTGATTTGTGTAACCTCTTCTGGGCTTCTTATTTCCAAAGCATTTATTATTTCATTTAGTCTTCACAATTTGCCTGTGACATAGGCATTTTTCCTATTTAGCAGCTAGGAAATGGAGCCCTGAACTTGTCTGTGGGCCCATCCAGGGTCACACAGCAGCTAGCTGGAATCCAACCCTCCCACCTCCAGAGCACCATCATCTGCAGGCTCTTGGCAGGGACATCTATTTCAGGCTACATGGAGGAGGTTCTTGGGAAACCTAGAGATTCTACAGCTACCCTTGTGAGTTCTCTCAACAGGGCATATCACTTCTGCACAGCTGGGAGGGCAAAATTCAGAAGTCAAATGACAGACAGAGAAGCAAAGTCACTGCAGTTAGAAAGAAGACCCAGCCGCGGCCTCTCTGCCTCTTCTGCTGTCAACACTACAGCCATGATTAGAATTAGCCCAGAAGAGGGAAATTCCTCCCTCTGCCAGCCACTGTCGAATCCCACCATCCCAGGAAAGCCCCTGGTCTTCCTCATGCAAAACATCCCAAACTTACATGTTATGCAGGGCACACCAGCCACAGTGAGGGTCCTCTGAGCTCAGGCACTCCCCACAAGTCGTGTACTGTTCACATGACTCCACGGGGACCCTGGTGACCTGGCAGAGAGGGGGAAGAGAGCGCAGTGAGGTCAGGTTGTGACAACTCGCAGATGTGTGTTCACCCACAGCTACCCTACCTTTCATTGCCACCTCCCCTACAGAGTTGACCCGGGGGGGTAAGCAGCGGCCTCAGTGGTCTCATATCCACCCGCCTACAGCAGGTATGGCTAAGCGGGGTGCATTTCTGAGTGGCAGGCCCAAGACTTCTTGCCTTTGCCAGGGATAGAAGCAAATCCTCCCACCTACTTCTGCCTGCCACTGATGTCTTGCCAAGAGCTGCGCAAGCCAGCGGCAAGTGCCGAAAATGGTTAACTCTGCTGAAAGGCTTTTGAGTGGCACAAACTCATCTCTGAAGAGCTTTCAGCTGGGCTTGGGCTGAGACATCCTGTCTGCAGAGAAAACATTTTAAAAGGGAGAGAAGGAGAAACTTTTCCCATCAAATGATATTCATAGTATGGCATGGGCTCTTTACAGACAACCAAATATACCACCTGGATCCAATTATCCCATTCTCTTAAGTCCGCATTCAGTTTCTGTAGCAAATCTCCATCCTTTGAAAAGTCTGGCTAAATGGGAGCATCCACAGAGAAGGGCTGCCTGTATGATTCTGTCTTGCCTGGAAAGTGGGAATTTGCAGATCAAGACCCTGCTCACTGGAGAGTGCAGCCCTTGCAAGCTCCTCCTGGCTTTCTGGTGGGGCCCTGCAGGGACTTGCACAGGGCCTGTTTGATTGTTACTCAGCCCTACCTGCACAGCATGCATGGCAATAAAGGCCAAGCAAGGGGGTCAGAGGACTGAAGTGTTCCATTTTGTATGTCCCAGGTATCTGTTGCTGGTTAGGGCGGGAGGCTGCTGGGCTGGGAATGGGTTCTCATTTGTTAGGGCATAGAGGCCCCTCACCTACTGGATGTGTGAGCTCAAGTGAAAACACAACCTGTGCTCCCACGGCACAGCAGGGGGACAAAGGCTATGATGGAGACACTTTCAGAGCATCCTCCTGAGAGGTTCAGGATGGATCCTAACACTGCTCATTCAGCAAATATTTATTAGATGTCAACTGTAGAGACCTGGTGCTATGCAAGAGAGAAAACAGCAGCCCGCAGCACACAGATTCTGCCCTTGCAGTGCCCCACAGTCCAGTGGGAGCTGGTAATTACAAACTGAGAATTGCCGTGTACTGTGCTGAGTTTTTGTTGGGTGGAATTGGTGTGAGTGCTGGGGGCCTTGGGAGCACCTTAGGGGGGTTGCCCAATGCAACCTGTCAGGAAGAAGGGGCTAGGGGAGTAGGGTGAGCCTTGAAGGGTAAAAGCGTAGCAGCTGCAGAGACCTGGAAAGACATTCCAAGCTCAGAGATTATCATGAGCAAGAGTAAGTAATTGTGCACCAGTTCAGTATAATTTGAGTGTAAGGTGCACACCGGAGGGGTGCCCCCACCTATCTTAACCGCATCATAACACGTGACATTCTGTATCACATGGCTTTTTTGCAAGTGAGTGACAAGATCAGCTTAAACATCCCTAACGTTTCTTTAAAAATAAAAATAAGAAATGCAAGGAGGATAAGTGTAAAATCTCGCAATTTGGTTTAAAAAATTGATACTCTGAGTGTAGCTTGGGGAATAGCTGGTTTGAAATAGCTTAAGCTTAATAGACCTGAGGGTTTGGGTTGATTCTAAGTCCGATATGACCTGACAGGGTGATGGGATAGTGAAAGGGGCTGATTTGATCGTGGGCTACGTAAGTAAACGTGTAGTGTGGGGATAGAGAGAAGACACCCCATACCGGGGAGTTCTGAGCTCAGGTCACTGCAACCTGCCCTAGGAGGGGTGTTACTCAATGAGAGATCCTTCTTAGTGTGGGACCAGGATGGGGTGAGACCCAGACATGGTACTTGAGGGACAGCTGATGACCTGGGATGTTTTATTTAGCCCAAAGAAGAGGAGTCTCAAGATAGTCATGGAGGCTATTTTCCAGTGTTTGAAGGGCAATAGTGTGCCTGCAGTAGGACTCATGGGTGAAAAGTTTCAGGAAAGCTCAACCTAAGAAAGTCAGGGTTGTCTCAGAACACAACAGCCTGGCCGCGCGAAGGAACGCCTAGCGCAGGTTCACGAGCAGAGTCAAGGTAACATGCCCGAGAGGCTGTGAAGGGATTTCTGTCATCAAAGGAATGCTACTCTAGTCCCTTCCAATTCTGACCTCCAGGATTCCATTTCCCACAGTTTATCTAACTCCTCCCTGAGATTATTTCTGATTTTTGTCCTGTATGACTTGACAGTTAAAAGATAACATGCAGCCGTCACCACCACCAACTAATTTCACACGGCTTTAAAGAGCAACACTTGAACCCTGCCTCACGGTGCCTCATGGCCTGCAATGCCTACCAGACGCACCTTTCTGAAAGGTTCCTGCTGGAGACCTTCTAGGGTGTCTCTCCTCTGCCCCAGTGCCACTCAGCCTGTCAGGATATCTGGTACCCTGGCCACCTGGTGGGCTTCCGCTGGCCCCTCCAAGCCACCCTCTGAGGCCTGAGAGCAGCAGTCCAGTGCCCGGCCTCCCATTCTTGGGTTTCGGGCTCCTTGTGAGTGATGTCTGCATCTGGCTGGAAATTAAAACAACTGTCTGCATTGCATTCGGCCTGTCTGTCAAAACACAGCCCGGCTCTCAGCAGCTGGGAAAGGGGGCCCTGAATGGGAGCAGTGTCTCCAGCAACAAAGCCCACTTTCACGCCAAGTGCCACGGAGATAGTGAAACCCTGTTCTTCTCCAAACATGAAACCAATGGCACAACTATTTTTCCTGTTTCCTGGGCCCTCCTAGTGGGATTTTTTTTTTTTTAATGCACTGAGTTGAAGAGCAAAGAGAAACAGGAAATTTATAAGTGGGGGGCAGAAGGGAGCAGTTTTAAAATTTGAATTACTCTCTCCTGTAAGATCTA